AGAGAGAGAGAGAGAGAGAGAGAGAGAGAGAGAGAGAATGAAGAGGGATCGTGGTAATAATAATGGAAAGCGAGAAAAAAAGAAAAAAAAAACGATCCATAGCTTTCGAATATATGGTAACGTCTAATACGTTGCTTCTAGTTTGCTACTGTAAACTAGAGGGCGTAAATTCCGCGTGACGCGGCGTCAACACCAAAGCCGCAAGAAGCTAGGACTGGGGAGAAGAGGGGGGAGGCCGTTGGCAGGCCGTTTCTTCTCGTCTTGACTCGCGAAAAATATCGCGAAAAAACTCGCGGCTCGCACACCTGCTCGAAAGCTCGGCCGTTATCTCCGGTCACTCGAGGATCGTCGAGTTAAGCCTCTTAACGTGGATTATGTCTTCCATCATTTTCCGCGCTCTGGGTCGGGGCTTTCCCGAGAGGTCGACGAATCCTGGAAGTATCGTCGCGCTAAAACCCTCTCCTTCTCCTCATCCTCCTACGCCCTCCAGACAACGGAGTTTCGAGCGTGGCGGCCACGCCGATTCCAGTGATTCCGGTGTCGAACATCGAGAGAACGAGCCGCTAACAAACGTTAAAAAGGAAAAACGTTAAATGCGCAGGATTCCAATCTAATCCGGCTTAATCCTCGTCAAAGTATGTGAGATACTTCCTCGAGTCGTTTTTCAATCCTTCGTTTAAAAAATATAAAAGAGATAAGAGATATTCTTGGTGTCGCGAGCTGACAGTTCTGTTCCTCGTTCGATTGACAGAGAGGACTGGAATTTCTTTTTTTTTTATCGGGATCGCAAAGAATCTCGGAAGAAAATTTTTATATGGATCGTTACAATATGTTTTCTTCGCTCGATGATTTTTTTTTTTGGAAATTTTTCTATACTCTAAATAAAATATTATATGTATATAATCGTAATCGCGAATTCCGCGTGATCGACGATTCTTTAATTTAAGCGTTACGCCGCACAGCTCTTCCATTAATATTCTCGATCGTTAATCGCAAGAATTACGATCGAATGAACTGGGATAATCGAAAGTCGGGGAAGTTGGATAACAGAGAGAGGGAAGGGGGAAAAAGTTTTAATAATAGGGCGTCTTTTCCTTTGGAATATGATTCAATGCTGGGTCGAAGAAGAAGAAGAAGAAGAAGAAAGTAAGGGAAAAATTCGGTGAATAAGTAACAGAGTTTAAAAGTGGCGGGGAAAAAGAGTAGTTTTGGCCTCGGAGGAGAAAGGAGGGGGAAAGAAAGAGAGGAATCGTAGCGAGAAGGCAAGGATAATTTGAAAGCGTCTCGAAACCGTTTCTCTATCGCCCTCCCCCCATACCTCCCACCTCGTCCCATGCGCGCATTCGTGTGCACTCTGTCGAAATTATTGTAAATTTACGAGGCGGCGTTGTCACTTCCCATCCATTCGGTCGCCACCTCGCCCATAGTCCGAAAACCAAACCGATAAATTGCCTCACGAATCACCGGGCAGAAACGGTTTACCTATCCGTAAAAATGTTCACGTAAAAACGTTCGCGCGCCATGAAAATTTCCCGAAACGACACGTACCCGTCCCGTTCCCCTTTTTGAAAGTGTTATCAAAATTTCAAACTTTTCACCGAAATATTCGATGCGAAACGACAACGGCCCCTACCGCCTTTACCGCGTCGAAAATCCCAAACGTTTACCAAACACTCGTTCCAATTAACGGCGTGCGTGTTCCGAGCACCAAGCATCGCCTCTATATATACGGCGCGTGGCCGTAATATATAGTTTACGTACGTATATAGGCCGTGAATCCCATCCTCCGGATTGTTATTGTCTCGCTCGCATCGAATAATTGCTCGTTTCTCTCGCGGTAAAATGCTAGAAGAAACTATCCTACTTTTCCCATAAATATTATTATCGAGAATGAAATAAAGAAAATTGTTCTCCCTTCGGCAAAGGATATATTCGTATATACGAATGAAACAAAGAGATATAATATAACCTTCGACGAATAATCTCCCCTCCTCCCTCCCGCGCCCTGGATTGTGACGCGTGGTTGAAACTAAATCCATCGGACGCGTAACATTACGACAAACCGATTTACCTGCGCTACGTTGCCCCCTGGTATTCGGTATTATGGTATATGTTAAATGTCATTACGAGCGCGATATAACCGTGCGATACCGTGCCAATTTCGCGCGATGACTTTTCATCGGTCGATCGTAAAGCGAGAGTAATGATAAAAACTCGCCACCATTTTTTTTTTCTCTTTCATTTTTTTTTAAATCACGGTTAACGCTTCGACTACGTTTAGAACGTGTTCAAAAGTGTCGAACGCAAACAGCGTGATCGTGGTTCATATATATACGTATATATATATGTATGTATACGTATAACGTGTATGCATGCATTTGTTGCTTTATAAAGTTAGTCAACGTTAATATACATATACATATAGCGTTAATATATGGTATACATATGCATATCCCCCGCTAAATTCACCCAACTCCGGGATCGTACGTATAATTTCTCGATTGAATATTCGAACCTGCTTTTGAATTAATTTTAGATTTTCGAAGCAGAAATGATCGTACGAAACGAATATAATCGAAAAGGTTTTGGTTAAAATTGAAAACGTAACGTTTTTTTGCAATTGCTTTCGAAACTTTTTTTTTGTTTTAATCCATGAAATATAAATTTTAAACATCGAGCGATCCATATTATTAATCTTCTTAAACGTATTTGCATATTTCCGCTTTATCGAAATCGATCGTTTCATCGAACGATTTCGATCGAAAAAATATACGAGAAACGAATAAATACGTGGCGCGTGGTGTATTTCAAAATCTGTTTTATCCGTTGATACATACGCCATTTCTCTTGACTTATCCATTTCCGTTCGACGTATTACTATTGCTATTATGCTACGTATGTATACGCTACGTTCCATTTTTGTAGAGATCTTTCCGCGATAGAATGCGAGATTTTTTAAGATTAACAAAGGTATCGCAGCGAAAGGAATCAAAGGACGAGGAAAGCTTTGCCCATGCTTTATGCATAATCCGATGTATAAGAATACGGTGAAGGTAAGTTGGCCGGAAGGCTCACATGCCGAGATATTCCACGAGAATAGGAGTTATCGCTCTTGTCTACCCCTTTCCTGGCATCCGTTTGTAACGCAGGCAAGCGAATATATTCCTTGTTTACCGCGAAATATGTATTATTGTTCTGACGTGAATGCGTATATATTTAACGTCTAATGCAGTCACGTTTATATGAAAATCTCGTGGTAAAACAAACGGGAAACAAACGCACACAACCGAGGAGAGCAATTGTTACGTTATATATCTTGCGATATATCGGTATAATACGTTTTCTTCGCTTGCACAACAGCTTTACCGTATCGATCTTACGATATTTCGGAACAAGGGGGAAACACGTTATGAATACTGGATATCGATGGAGCACGGTTGGCGTCGTAATTTGTCCTTGTCCTTTCTCCCCTCCCTAATCAAATCTTACTCACACGAACGTAATATAAAAACAGAGATGAATTTTCACCTCGTATCTCGATATCCTTTCGTCGCTTTCCTTCTTCTAAAAGCTGTAATTCAACTGACGACGGTTGAGAAGTTAGTCGAAAGAAATATTGATTTCTTTTTCTTTCTCCTCTTTCCAATAATTCAATGATAGATAAATTTGCCACGTATTTTTGACGATGAGATGATTTCGACCTAGAATTTATTTAATCCACTTGTCACATTCGCACGTACACGCACAGAGTTCCCAGGACATCAGAAATAATCGAATTTCCGAAATTCACATCCACAATTACATCTCTTCGCACATTTTTCGTGACACGTTTTGCTGCGAAATTAAAGAGAAATTATAATATCTTGAAGATGTGTGTGTGTACGCCTGTGTAAACGTGAGAGATTTGAAGATCATAGAAGAATAAATAAATACGGAGAAAAGCGGTAAACCAGTAGCGAAGAAACGAATGTAATAGCAAAAGCGTGAACGTATGTATATATATATATACGCGAAATAACGAAGCGAGACGAAAGGAAAAGGAATATAGAGAAGAGTAACACTCGAGTACTTAGCGTGCATTGTAAATTCCCTTTTCGTCCATAACGAAGCGAGCGAGGATCCAGTAAACGAGGAGCCACATTTTATCGGTGAAAACGTGATCTTTAACTGCGGTCGAAAAAACCGTAAGACACGCGAAGATAAATTTTGTTTTGCGTTAAACTCGTTCTCCCCCTTTCTCTCTCTCTCTCTCTCTCTCTTTCAAAAGATTCTCTCTTCTTCTCAAATCCACGAGGGAAAAAATGTCGTTCGCGTAACAAAGATCGCACATGGATGGAAATTATACTACAAGGATAGACGTTCTCTTGCCGTTCGAAGAGTTTCTCCCGTTGATCAAAAGTTTCGACGCGAGAGTTTCGATCGTGTTTTTGCTCGCGAAATATATATTTTGAATCTTCCTCGCGCACGAGAGGTTTTATGGTCGGATAGAAACCAGAGAATGCGGCAAACACGTCCCAACTTTTCCAAGCTTCGCCGTCCAGCTTCGCCAACTTTTCCTCCGGTAAACGTAGCAGCAGCGATGGAAGAGAGAGGTTAACTATGTAGGTATGTGACACGAGGCGTGGAAGCATGAAGCGTCCGCCGCTCCGAGCTCTTCTCCCCTCTCCTCACTCCCACTCCCACTCCTTCCCTATCCACTCCTTCCATTCCCCTCGTTCGCAACATATCCGAAAGATTTCCGCCACGCGGAAGAAGCGACGCGAGGGACGAGAGTTATCGAGGCGAATTCCCATCGGCTCCTACAATTCTTTGACGGTTAGGATATTTTTTTCCGTTTTGTTTATTCAGGAGGAAGAGCTCCATTACAACGTGACCGCAGGCATAGTGCTCTCGGACCATTCTCTGGTGCTTCAAAGTATAACTCGAGAATCCGCTGGAAAATACAGCTGCACGGCCGTCAATGTCGAGGGTCGCGCCAGTTCCAACGTAGTGAACCTCGAGGTTATGTGTGAGTATATTATTGTCATACTGGGAGGAAAAAAGAAAAAAAAAAAAAGGAAAAAAGATATTTCTTATTTTTTATATCGGATCCAAAGTTGAATCTAAAGACGTTGTGTGTTTCGCGTGCAAAAAAAAAACAGTCGCTCCTGTTTGCAAGCACGTGTTAAATTCGGCCGGATGGAGGTATCAAAACGCGACGCCGCCACCGTTCAACGTACCCGAGGAGATTCACGGCGCGTTGAAGCACGAAACGATCGGTCTTGTTTGCGAGGTGGAGGCAAACCCGGCCACGGTCACCTTCCATTGGACGTTCAACAGCAGCGGTGACCTTGTCGACATTCCGTCCACCAAATATTCGAACGAAGGCACTTCGAGCAGGCTCAATTACACCCCCTCTTCCGACCAGGATTACGGCACGCTGGCCTGTTGGGCGAGTAATGCGGTTGGCCCCTCGAAACAGCCCTGCCTCTACCAAGTGATCGCAGCAGGTTCGTCGTTTACCATTTGTCGCGTTTCACACAATTTGCCTCGTTATTATTATCGTAGTATATATATATATATATATATATACACATATATATATATACATACATATATATAGACGCCGACAATTTCTCTAATTGAATATGCTCGTTTGCGGTGTTGCCAGTGCACCGTGCACCGTACACGTATACCGATATATTTGGAAAACGACGATGGAAAACCGAACGCTGCCCCGATGAAACCGATGAAACCGATTGAGGGAGGAAAACCCCCTCGTTCGGTGGAGGGGGAAATTATACCGAAAATGAAATCCGTGAAATTAATTCACGGCCTTGTATCATGGTCCGTTAATGGAAAAACTGATACGGAATTGGTATGGGAAAGGAAACAAAAAAAATTCGGGTAAGAATTATTCGATGTGGACGGTGCGGGTCGATAATTTCTCAACGGATTCGGATTGTTCCTGTTTTTTTTTTCTTTTTTTCGATAATTGGACGCATAATTTTCAACCGGGGGGATAGCAATGTATTTCTTATACAAAGGGGGGGTAATTATCAGAGAACAATTTTTTACGCCACCGCGATTCGCGAATAATTAAATCGTTAATCGTTCGTTCGCCATGATGCGAGAAACGATAAATCGAAAATCGAGCAATTTCTATTTTGTTCTATCTCTCTCTCTCTCTCTTTCCGAAACTCCTTTGATACGCGCGTTAAAGGCAAAAGGTTTTGAATACGATACGACGATCCCTGATATAATAATAAATTGTGAGGATAATTTGCGATTACGCGACGAACACGTGTGGATAAAGAAGGAGGAAAAAAAAAGAAAGAATTTTGAAAAGAGAGATCTGTTTTATCGCAGGAACACTAATTTATCTGCTACTGCTGCAAAGGATTATTTCTGGTACGCGTTACACTGGGAGGGGAGGAGGAAAAAAAAATAAAAATAAAAATAAAAATAAAAAAGAACTTCATGTCACGAGCGACCGCGCGTTTGTTCGATGCTCGCGCGAGCTTTTTCAGAAGCTCTATTTGCATACAAGTGATCTCGTTAACGCAATACCATCGTCGATAATGACGACCGTGGAACATAATTTCATTGGCCGCGGAATGGATGGAGCATCACGTTGCAATTTTCGTTTCGAAATAAAATGAAGTTGCGCGAATCGCGACAGGACGGCACAGTCTCTGTATCAGTTTTTCTCTTTCCCCCACCCCCGAGCAAAATTTTATACGGCAAACAATGCACAGTTTTAACAGGCACGTACGTGTCTTTCGAATCGAATAAATCTTCCCTACTTATATTATACGAATCAATATATATATATATATATATTTGTTGAATTCGTACGATCTGAAATGATATTTCGCTCGCAGGCAGGCCGTACCCGTTGCAGAATTGCACGGCGCACAATCAGAGCGGCTCCTGGATCCGGATATCATGCGTGGAGGGATACGACGGGGGTTTGCCGCAAAAATTCGTCGCGATCGTGGACAAGCAACGGTTGGAATCGTCGAATCCGTATTGGGAGTTGGAGCTTCGAAATCCGGCAACGGTCGCCCTATACGCGGTCAACATGAAGGGATCGAGCGATCCGGTTATCATGGAAGGGGAGGCGTTAAAAGGAGTGGCCAAGTTCACCGGTGCGTAAGTACCTCTTGCGAGAGAGATGTTGAATGCGAGAGCGCCGCCGTACAAAGACCGCGGTATGCCGCGGCTCTTCAAAAGACGCGAAGCTCCCGTCAAAGCTGCCGATTCAAAGAGAGAAGAACACCTCTTCTCTGCGTGTATCCTGCTCTCCGACTGTTTCCTGCGTATCGGAATGCGCCTATTTAATTCCTTTTCCCCTTCTCCCCAGTGTTTCTTTCCTAATACGTTTAACTCGTGAACTTCGTGCTCGACCGAGTAGAAATTTCGAATCTCGTCGATGGATTTCTTTTAATTCTAGAGGCAAAAAAGAAAAATTAAGAAAAATTGCGAAGAGAAAAATTCGAAGAGAAATGAGAATTAAAATTCATTGGTATCGATAGTGTTGGAAAATTGTTTTGAAGTTTTAATATTTATATTTAATTGAATTTAATTGAATATTACTGGTAAGGACTTGGGATGATTTTATAGGGGAATCGGGATCCTCGGTGGACATGTCACCGATCCTGATCGGGCTGGGCGGAACCGCGACTGGACTAGGCTTGATCGTGACCGGTGTATTAATGGCACTTTGGAGGAAACACGCGGCAACACCGGCGAAAGCGAAACCGCCTCAACAGCCGAGCATCGCGACATTCGCCGGCAAGGGTGAAGAGGAAGACGGGAATCCTGACCTCATACCCACCACAGCTTTGACCAATCATCTCACAGGTTAGTTATCGCATCGTTTCACGATTTCAAATTCAAGCACAAATGCCTCGCGCGCGGTGTTGCGACATCTACAGAATGAATTCGTACGAAAGATTACTTTCTTTTCCTTTCTTCTTCTTCTTCTTTTTGTCTATTTATTTTTTTCTTTTTCAACAGCATTGTCGAAAAATGTACCCAGTATCTCATCTGGTAAATTTCTACTCAATCTGATGAAAGTGCTTGGTTTAAACGAGGATCGATAAATATATCGAGTCTAAACCGCGATTGTGGTTAACGATACTTTCAAGGAAATTGCTCGCGAGAGACGCGTGCCTTACATCGATTTGTTTGATATAAGTGCATCGATTCAGAAATCGAATGTACGGATATACGCGATAAATCTACACGAACAATAACGTGGATGCACTCGTCTTTTTTTATTCTCGTTCGAATCTCAAAAATTCTTCTTCGAGCGAGCGAGAGAGAGAGAGAGAGAGAGAGAGAGAGAGAGAGAGAGAGAGAGAGAGAGAGAGAGAGAGAGAGAGAGAGAGAGAGAAGGACGATACGCTAGAACAAAATTTTTTCCAGATAGGAAGCTTTTACATTACGGTTCCCTACCACGAAGGCCGCGTCAACTCGAAGGGCGGGAAATGGCTCATAATGTCGTAGAAGATTCGGATTATCCTCGAGCATCGCCAAACGTGAGAATTACATCTTTCGTTTGTCTTCGATTCGAAGACAACGAATGCCCTCTCAAGGAGACGAATAATTTTGTTTGCAGACATTTTATAGCCTGCAGAGGCCGCATCGATATTCGGAAACGGTAATCCGAAGTTCCGTGATTCAGGAGAGCTGCATTTAAGAAATCGAGAAAGGAAGAGGGGAGAGTGGTGTTGAGCGAGGGACGGAAGAGGAAGTCAAAGATTTACATACACTGCCCGTAGAGTTGCGTTCAACAACGCAACACGTGAAAATCAAAAAAGACTAAAGCCATGCTTATGCAATATTGTACACGTTCAAGCGTACGAAGATATTTAGCAAGTCGATAACAATATGCCTTTGTAAATATTGTATATAAATAAAACACATCGATTCGTGTTTATGCGTTTGTATCATGAGATTTTTCCTTTATTCGATATAACCTGGTCTTGGGAAAACATTTTTGTACGATTCAATTTTCGAAAACGATCGAAAAATTTTCTTCGTACATTTTTCTATTTTTTTTTTTCTAGTAGCGGAAAAAATATGGACAATTTTACATAAAATATCGTTGAAGATATAATATAGAAAGAGTCGCGGTAATTTCTAGTTTTTTTTTCAAATTGAGAAAAATCGAGAGGATCCGGACTATTTCTACGAGAGATTTAATGCATCTATGGACGTTAAATGCACTTGGTAAAAAGGAAATAGCGCTATCTCGTATAGTAGTCAGGAACAAAGCTTGGGGAACGTACATATATCTTCGAAACAGACCAAAAGGTGATCGCATAAACTCTGCTCGGTTGCTGTTGAAATCCGGGTCAAGGAAAGGACGCGATTTATCGTGGCCTCATTTCCAGATAATCTTTGTTTCAAGACGCGAAAATCTCAGACACTTAATGAGAATCTTCTTTTATATATATGTTTCTTTTGTTTTAGACTGAAATCTTGATGCCTTTTATCACCACTAAATGTATCGGACTTGACCCACTCGCAAAAATCTCTTCGATCGTGCATACAATTTCATGAAAAATAAATGTAATTTCATGAAAAAAAAATGTATATTTGTATAAATTATTTTCCTTAACATCCTTAGTAATGATGTTATAAAAGTAATGCGAAGTTTATTATTGAACGATGAAATGATCTTTGAAATAAAAAATAATTTGACAAATCGAAAGAATGAATCGATCTTTTCTATATTTCCTTTGTTATATGTAGGATACAATAATTTAATTTTCTTTTGTTTTTATTTTGTTATCGATAAAAAATAATAAAAACCTATACTACATATATCTATCTTTATCAAAATAAATATGATGATGTAATAATAAAAAATATAATAAATTCTAATAATTTATTACAAAAATTATATTATTATTTTTTTATTATATAATATTATATTTTATATATAAAATTATATTTCATTATATATAATTTTTATATTTATACACTTTAGATTGAATTTAAAGTTTAATTATTCTAGTAAATTTTGTTAAATGAAATTACTTTTGTAATAAAAGTTTTTTTCATATTGTAAGAGAAGTAATTAAAGAAATAAATAAAAAAATAAATAAATAAAAAATAAAAATTGGATTTTCTGTATGTTGAATATGATATACTAGAGGGCGTAAGGAACTGATTTTTATTGCCATCGATATTTCAGAACACTAGAATGATTCCAAGTCATGCCGCAAGATGTCACTTCTAGTCTCTGCTTCATATTCTGAAATATCGATTGAAAAATAACCAGCGATTTCACGCAATGAGAAATAGAATACACACGACATCTTTCGGAAATTTGCGTTGTGCATATCGATCTCAATCATTATAATTTCATCTATATAATGCCATCTACCATTCTATAATCTAAGTAATACGTATATATATATATTAAATATATTATTTTTTAAAAAGATCAGAGTTAAATAATTAAAAAAAAATTATCGAATATTTAAGTTTTTTTAATAATAAAATCAATTTTATTATTAATACTTGTCTTAAAATTTTTACTTAAAAAAAATTTATTATTAAACTATCTATCAATATCTAAATCTACTTATGTAAATATTTCTTAATAAGAATCTAAAGTATTTACTTAAAAAAGATTTATTTTAGTCTACCTATTGAAAAATAGAATATAACCAAGGAAAGGACTATAAAGGAATATAACCAAAAAAAAGTCAAAAAGATCAATATAAGAGATACATAAGAGTTTTCTTTGGTTGATTTGATCCTATATTTTCCTATAAAATTTTTGAAACAAACAACAGATTACAAAACCTTAGTGAAAGTCATTATAATAAATAATTTTTTTAATTAATCATTTAATAAATTATAATGACTTTCTAATTGAAAAATGGACTCAAATGTAATTCCTGGCTACTAAAAATTTTTCCTAACATCCTTATTTCTATTTCTAACAAATATCTAAAGATACTACTTATCTATCTATCTATACATAGCAAAATTTAAAAATTTATATACAGATTTTATCTAAATAAAAATTAATTTTTTTTTTTTTAATATTTTCTTATTTGATCTAAGATATAAAAATGTTAAGATTTGTTCGCAGATCCTACTTATTTAAAAATCTCATTATAATCAAAAAAAAGATATGTTGAAATATAAGTCTTCATTGGTTGATTCCATAGTAATTTCTGAAACAAATTAAATTATAAAGAATTAGTAAAATTCCATATAATAAAATTATAATTTTTTTTACATTATAATTAAAAAAAATGATAATAAAGATCAAAATTCTAATAAATTATAATAGTAATAAAAATTAAAAGCTTAAATTAAAATCTTTAAAAAGAATAAAAAATTACATAGAAAAAAAGACAATTATCTCTTCGCGTGATGGATGATCTCTTTATTTTCTTGAGAGAAACACTGAGTCTATTCCATACTGAAAACAATTATTAAAAATAAAAAAAAAAAATAAAATAAGAAACTACTAACACATCCATTTATATTGAGTAATCAACGAACAAATACTGATTCTATCGATCACATTGCGCGTGGTCACAATAATGAAATTATATTAATGAAATGAAAAAAAAATGAAAAAAGGAACAAAATATGTTCATATTTCCTTATCGAACATTTGTTAATTAAAAAAAATATTGCTATTTAAAAAAAAAATAAAATTGTAAATATTCATTATTAAAATTAATGATGTTTATGTTGTGTAAAAATATTAAATTACATTAAATATTTGAAATTTTTTTTTTAAATCTTTTTTATTTTTATCTTATGTTTTATGTCATCTTATGTTCATCTAATGTTTTCAATAATTAATATAATAATTATAAATTATATAAAAACTATGTACATAATACATAACTAGAAAATTACTAAAAGAAAAAAGTAAATACTTACATTTTTCTTCGATATAGAAATTTAAATTTTACCTCTTTTTTCATAAAATATAAAATAACATCATGGTATCCATTGAAAATCCTTTTCTCGTCTAAAATAAATTTTATCAGATAAACTATTTATCTGCGCAAAAGATAATTAATGTTATTATTATTATTAATATTATTAATATTATTAATTATGTTCAAAATGTATAATAAATGTATATTAAATTAATTTTATTAAAATAATAATAACAATCTAATTTCAAATCTTACTTTAAAAACTCATGAGTTAGTGGTAATTTTAATGATTAATTATATAAATAAAAAAGAAAATAAATTTTACAAAGAATTATAAATTATAATAATAGTCAATAAATAATCGAATAAATTAATGAAATAAAAGCCTGAAAATATAAAAAAATAATTGTAAAATAAATATTATTCAATGTATATAGATATTACATACCTGAAGCGAAGTGGCTATTTTTTTTAGTAGCAAAATGGCATCCCGTAATTTCGATACATCGAATTATAAATTAGAAAGGGTTCGATAAATCGAAACATGTCGAATAAGATATCACTTTCCTGAAAAATTGAATTATTAGAAATATTTTCTATCTTGGAGTTTTAAACATAAAATTAAATATAAAAATAATATGAATTAAATATATGAATATATAAATTGAATAATATAAATATAAACATTTAAAAATATACAAAAATATTTATAGAATGTGTGTGTGTGTGTGTGTGTGTGTGTGAGATCTATTTTCATTTTTCTATGAATAAAAAGATAAAAGAAATTTATAATAATTATATATTCTTAAAATAAATAAAATCTTACCACATTTGCATAAAAGTCCGATTATTTCTTAATTTATTATTTTGCATAGTATGTGCAAAAAATATTACCCTTTCAAAGAGGCCCATCTTCAAAATCTTCTTCTTATCTTCAAATTAAACAGTAATCTATTACGAAAATATTCAATTCTGGTATAATAATCATTAAACAAACACATTGACAAAACAAAATCTGATAATAAATTTAATAACCATAACAGGATAAAAATTTCATGTAATTAACTGATGAAACGTGATCTGTCACTATGATTTTCAATTGTAGACTGATGCCATGTGCATAATGATGTACATTGATTCATTTTGAGACTGAATTTTAGCAGCTTCCTGATTGGCTAACATTACATAGTTCCATATTTCAAATCAAATTTCAAAAAATAAAATTTTATTTTTCATGGTTACATTAAATTTTTCTTTCCTTTAAAAAAAAACAAGAAATTAATCAATTAATATAATATAAAAAAAAAATTTAAATAAATATCTAAAATACATTAAATTAAATACATTTAATTAATTAATTAAATTAAAATAATCGAACACAAATTTCATCTTAAAAAATATAATATAAATTACTGTAAGTTTAATCAATAAATAAATAATGAAAAAAAATCGCCATTAAAAAATTTCTAATTAAAAATAAAAAATTTCAATTAAATTCCTGCGAATATACAAACAAAAAAATATAATTATTGAAATAAATACTATACAGTAAATACAAATAAAAATTACATATCTCGAAAAAAAATGATATAACTAAACATGAAAACTATCGATATTACAATGATGCCTCAGGCTACGATTTTAATTATCTAATTATAAGTTGCAAGGAGTGAGAAGGAAGATTATCAAATTTAACAAATATATCGAAACATATCGAGCATAACCGAAAAAAAAAACGTACAAATATCGAAAATCTATCACGAAATTAGTAGATATATACGAGATCTAGTTATTATGTTTATTATATATTTAATAAATAAATACCCATAATAAACCCAACACTCAAAAATAGTAATATACAAAAAATAAAAAAAATGCGACTTACCGAAGAACTTTGTAGAACATTGTATCGTCCACTTGACTGATTGTCCAATGATGAAATGTATCAACATTCACAAATAAAATGATTATATATATATATATATATATATATAATAAACAAATTATATAAGAATAATTTATGTAGAAATATATGGACTGAACATTCGTAAATAAACGTGTAGACTACAAACAATTGCAAAAAAACGCGCGAAACCGCTACTACGTCACTGCGCAAATAAACGTACTTAAAATATTCATAAATAAAACATATATATTTTAAACACTCGCGAATATAATGTAGGATGTATTTTAAATTTGATATTTGTGCACATTTTTAAATTATATCGAACAAATATAAATTATATACGATATCGATATACGTAGCTCCAGCACATGTATACAGTACGGCGGTTGAAACGTAACTAATGTTTCTCCCCACCGTAATGCGCGTAACTCGGTGCGCAAAGTCACGCGCATCGATACAGCACATATTACTGTTTATAATTCTTCGAAATATTATACAATTTATTAATTATAATTAATATATATATTTATTAATATAACGATATAATTTATTAATATAATTTATTAATATTTTAATTATATAATTTTAATTATATAACGGTATATAAATTTATAATTTACCATATTTATTAATTTTATATGACATATAAAAATTTAAATATATATGATTTAAATATAATATATAATAATAAAAAATAATAATATATAATATTAATATAATATAATATAATATTAATATAATAAATAATACATATATAATTTAAATATAATATATATGAATATAAAAATGTTTGTATATTGTATATAAATATGTAAAAATAGATGAAAAATAAATATGTAGATATTTACGATATATAAAAATTAAATCGGATAGATTTTGTTAAGATTTTTAATCAATAAGTTAAACAAAAGAAAACAATAAAATTAATTAAATTAATAAACACTATTTCTTCAAAGCATGAATTTTGTAAAATAAATATAAACAAAAAAAAAAGAAAATAAAAGAAAAGTAAATAATAAAAAAGTAAAAATAGAATAAAAAAACTCCTTTAACACTTTTGAAAGTTAAAGATATTACTTTAAAAAATTGTTCTATATTTCTAAAACATTCGAAAACATTCAAAACGTTATATTAGTTTTCAATTCTTATTTTATTTTATTTTAACTTTGAAGAAGTATTTCTGGTACTTTAAAGATGGTGCTGATGATCAATTCTCTATCTCTATCCTACTATTTTCTATCCTTTTTTGTGTTTCATTTGCAGCACTCTGAAGATGGCGCTAATTTCAATATTTTTATCTTATCTTTGTCTTTTTCCTATATTTATTCTCATTGTCTATTAATTTTATATATATTAATTTCATATATACCATTCTATTGATTTTAATATTTTTACCTATTTTTATTGCAAAATATGGAAAAATGCATTAAATCTATTCCTTTTTATATTTCGTTTATGGTTTCAATATATAGAATGAAATTATAGCGTTAATAATGGAAAAATTAAAAATTAAATTTCAATACAGAATTACAAATAAACAATTAGAACAATCAGAATGAATTACTAAATTTTATTCTATTTAATTTTGTAATTGAATAAAATAAACTTTATTAAATCAATCCAATATAATATTAAGAATATTTAAATATTTTTAATAAATCAACATACTAATAATATTAAAAAATAACTCGATTATAAAATCAGTTTAGCAAGAAACTAAAAATATTTTAATTATCTAATGTCGATGATATCAAAAATCTTATCATGAGATTAAATGTAATTGATAATTGATTGTAATTGATAATAATTCATATTTTTCGAATATATCTACAATTTTACAATTTTATTTAAAAATTAATAAAATTATTTTAATTCATCTTAATATATTATCTTTTATATATAACAAATTATTTATTCTCATTCTCACTTTAACCTAAGCATCATTTTATGAATTAATATATGTGTTTAACACAACTTGTGATTTATAGTAAGTAAACCGGGGTACGGTGTCAATGCTTTTATTTCGTCATAATGTTACCATTGATCAATACGTATTTAACTTTTTTATAGTGACAAATCTATAAATAAATACTTGTTATATCAAGTTGTCATAATCGCAAAGTATACATATACTATACATACACTTACATTAAAAAAATAGAAAGCTTCTACGATTTTAATATATAATTTGATCTAATTTGAATATATTAAATATATTAAAATATATATATAATAAATTTGTCAATCTGTATCCATAAATTAGCTGTTTTAATTGCGTTAATATTTTAACGTTCTCGTTGCGTGTAATAGAATGAATTTTGTACAAAACAGTGATTTCTCAAAATGTATTCATCGAATTATTTCAAGTTCCAACTTTTGAGCAAATCATTTTGTACGGAGGAGCAAAGGTCGTACGATACAAAAGCATTAAAATTGGCTAATAGTTATTAATTTGATCGTTGTCTTGCGTGGTAATAATGATTACAGTAGATTAAGTGCCAAAAATCCACCTCTCTTCCCTCTCTGTCCTCTCTCTAGGTTGTTCCTTTGCCGTTCTTCCTACGGAGAGGGGCATTCTTCTTTTACTTAAGGGGTGGACCGGTGGGAAGGTAAGGAAAATCTTATAAGCTAAAATAAAAGCGAAACAAGGCAAAGTCCGCGGGAGTATTTTTTTCAGTCTGAAGAACTACTTAGTGGAGTGGCTATCGTATCGCAGGTATCACCCTCTTAAACAAACGTTTTCCAACTGATTACTTAGTGACATTTTAAATATTTTTAATGCATTATGCGTGCCTTCCAACTAACAACAAAGCTAAGATTACAAGTGAAAGTGTGAATATAATTTATCGTGCAAAATTATCGTTTAAAAGTGGAAAAGTAAT